GAAGTGAAGGTGACCAAACACTTTTACAATTTTTTTTAAAAAAGTCAGTTTGCTCTAAGACAGCAGAATTAACAATAATGAATCACAATAATTTTAAAAATCAGTCTTTACCTACACATCTTATGGTGCTATTGTTTTTGAACTGTAGTAAGTATCCACACTTAGATGTGGGGACCTGGATTTCTTGGAACTAAGGTGTTCCTAGATACAGATTAAGACATTATTACCAGTCAGTCAGGTAGTCCAGTTTTGTCTTAAATCTGGTCCCTAGTTGACCTTCCAAAAGAGTTAGAACACTCCAAGAGACAACTGGCAATGATCATAATTGTGTAACCAGTCATAATTAAGTATATCCAGAGTGAATTTAGAGGATAGAAAGAAATTGAAGGAATCTAGAACAACCAAAAAAAAAAACCAAAACACCAGATAGGCAACACAAGTAAAAATAATATATATAAGAGTAAGGCATCTATGTTAATGTCCAGTCAACTGTTTACTACATGAAGTGATCTACGTCTGGGAAACATTTTTCTCTAGTAATTTTGAGTCAAAGGGGTTATTCTAGGCCACTGACTGCAAACTATCTGATTGAAGAGGCTTTATTTCTAAGCACAACGTATAGAGCACTGAACTTTTCAGGGAGTCCTGATTTCAAATCTGTCCTTAGACATTTACTGGCTGAGTGATCTTGGGCAAATTACTCTGCTTATTTCCTCATCTGGAAAATGGGGATAATGATAGTACCTATCTTTTTGAATTGTTATGAGGAGAAAATGAGATGTCTGTAAAAGTGTTTAACAAAACCTTAAAAGCTCTATATAAATACTAGCTATAATCATTATCATTTTTTTTTTCTTTATTCTTTTATGATATTCTGTAAAGGACTTCTGCACTGGTTTGGTTTTTTTTTTGCATTTTAAGAATGTTTTAAATATAGTGGAACTTAACAATACATGCTGTTGTTTAGTTGTTTTAGCCATATCCTACTTTTTGTGACCACATTTGGGATTATAATTTCCTTCTCCAGCTCATTTTATAGATGAGGAAACTGAAGCAAACAGGGTTAAGTGACTTGTGCAGGTCACACAACTAGTAAGTATCTGAGGTTGGATTAAAATCAGGTCTTCCTGACTCCAGGCCAAGTGCTACTGTGCCATGTAGTGGCCGCTAAAGGTATCTTATTTCTATGTTATAAATTTGTTTTTTCTTTTGTTGGGCTTATGTTTTTCAAACATAATGATTTTTTCTGAAAAAAAAAAAAGATCCCTTCTCTGGGGTTTTTTCTTTAATGAAATCAATAAACATTCTTTTAGAAGAACCCATTTTCTTGGGGGTTGAGCCAAAATGGTAGAGAAAAGTCAGGAATTCACTTGAGTTCTGCCAAATTCTCCTTCAAATAACTTTAAAAGATATCTCAAAACAAATTCTGGCACAGCAAAACTCACAAAAGGACAGGGTGAAACAATTTTTGAGCCCAGGACAACTCAGAAGGCTGGCAGGAAAGGTCTGTTGCAGTGGTGTGAGAGTAGAATGTAGGCTTTGACAAAACAGGCTGTGCTTTAGCAAACCAGCAGCAGTCCTCAAAAGTGACTGAATCAGTGGTGGCAGTAACTGCTTCTAGAACTTTCAGCCCACAGGCAGTAAGGAGGTTAGACCACCGGTCAGAAGGAGGTTACAAGGGTCCCTTTGCTGACACTATGGGCCGGACTCTGTTGCGTTGCCCATACTCAGATCTGGGTTGCAATCCTGGGTCACAGTCCCAGGGCTAGGAGAAGCACTAGTACAACAGAGTTTATAGCTTCAGGAGACTGGGGACCCAGGTTATAATACCAGGGTGGAAAAAAGAGCTTGTGGTTACTTCACACACCAGAGCACAGGTTAGGAGAGTAGTAAGCATGCTGTTCCTTAGATCATACTACTTTAGAAGAACTGAAAGCTTTTTAAAATATATATGTACATTCCTATTAAACATATTTTCACATTAGTGATGTTGTAAGTAAGAATTAGAACCAATAGAAGGAACCACTAGAAAGAGGAAACAAAACTCAACAGAATAAAAAAAAAAGCAAATAGTATGCTTCCATCTGCATGCAAACTCCATAGCAGCTTCCACATTAAAAGATCAGAGAACTTAGAATAGGGTATTCAGGAAGGCAAAAGAGCTAGGATTACAACCAAGAATCATCTACCCAGCAAAACTGAGTATAATACTTTTGTGGGGAGAGGGGATGGATACTCAGTGAAATAGAGGACTTTCAAGCATTCCTGATGAAAAGGCCAGAGCTGAATAGAAATTTTGACTTTCAAATATAAGACTGAAGACAAGCATAAGAAAATAAACGGGAAAGAAAAATCAGTCATAAGGGATTCAATAAGGTTAAACTGTTTATATTCCTGCATGGGAAGATAATACTGGTAACTCCTAAGAACTTTCTCATTGTAAGGCAGTTAGAAGGAATATACCTAGACAGTGGGCATGGGTGTGAGTGGAACATGACGGGAAGATTAAATTAATTTAATTAAATTAAACAAAAGTAAGGGGTGAAAAAGAGGAGTGTACCTGGAGAAGGGGAAAATGAGAGCTCAGTAGAATGGGGTAAATTATTTCACCTAAAAGAGATGCAAAAGAGCTTTTACAGCGGAGGGGAAGATGGGGAGAGGGGACTTGTAAACCTTAGTCTTGTCAGAATTGGCTCAAAAAGTAAGTAACATACACACTTGGGCATGGAAATCTATTTTATCCTTTAGGAAAACAGCAGAGAAAAGGAATAAGAGAAAGAGGAGGGTTAATATAAGGGAGAGCAGATTGGGGGAAGTGGTGGTCAGAAGCAAAACACGTTTGAGGATGGACAAAGTGAAAAGAGAGAGAGAAGCATAAACAGGGAGGGAAATAAGATGGAGGGAAGTTAGTAATCATAATTGTAAAAAAATTTACAGTAAGTTTTTCTGATAAAGGCCACATTTCTCAAATATTTCAAGAACTGAGTCAAATTTACAAAAACAAGAGCGGTTCTTTTTTTTTTTTTTTTTTTAGTCAGTTGGAGTTAAGTGACTTGCCTAGGGTCACACAGCTAGTAAGTGTCTGAGGCCAGATTTGAACTCAGGTCTTCGTGACTCAGGGCTGGTGCTCTATCCACTGCGTCACCTAGCTGCCCCCAAGAGTCATTCTTGAATTGATAAAATGGTCAAAGGACATGAACAGACAGTTTTCAGACAAAGTAGTCAACACTATCTGTGGTCTTGTAAAAATGTTTAAAATACTATTGATTAGAGAAATGTACATTAAAATTACTCTGAGGTACCACCCCACACCTATCAGATTGTTTAATATGATAGAAAAGGAAAACAACACATGTTGGAGAGAATGTGGAAAGATTGAGATGCTAATGGAGTTGTTTATTGATTCAACCATTCTGTAAAGCAGTTTGGAACTATGCCTGAAGAGCTATAAAACTATGCATACCCTTTGACCCAGCAATACCACTACTAGGTCTGTATACCAAAGAGATTAAAAAAAAAAAAAACAGAAAAGGAAAAGGACCTATATGTACAACAATATTTATAGCGGCTCTTGTGGAGGCAAAGAATTGGAAATTGAGGTATTGATGGGTATCCACCCATCAATTGGGGAATGGCTGAACAAGCTGTGGTTTATGATTGTGATGGAATACTATTGTACTATAAGAAATGATGAGTAGGATAGTTTCAGAAAAACCTGGAAGGACTTACATGAACTGATGGAAAGTGAAGTGAACAGAACTAGGAGAACATTGTTCTTAGTAACAGTAATATTGTATAATGATCAGCTATGAATGACTGCTATTCTAATCAATACAGTGATCTAAGACAGTTCTGAAGGACTTGATGAAAAATGCTTTCCACTTCTAGAGAGAAAACTGATAGAGTTTGAGTGTATAATGAGGCATAATTTATCATGTTCTTTATTTTTCTTGTTTTTATTTTTTTTTACAACATGACTTGTTTGGAAATGTATTTTGCCTGATTTCGTGTGTATAATATATTGCTTGAGTGAAGGAGAAGCAGGGGAGAGGGATAGAATTCAGAACTCAATTTTTAAAAAGCATAATAAAAAGAAACTTTTTAAGTAAAAATATTAATTTTGACTTATAATCTTACTTTTAAACACCAAATTCTGGCTAATGTAAGTAAAAGGGATAATAAAAATTGTTAGGAATGATTTTATAACATCAGCTAGCTCATCCAGTGGTGTTCTTAGTGATAAACATGAATAATAGTTATATCCTTCTCATTGTTTTTTGACTATATTGCTAGATCTGGAATAAAATTGTTCTGAAAATAAAATATTATTGAAATCAGCCTTATGTTATATGAAACCATTAGTAATAGGCATTTAAAATAACTTTAAAATATTTTACTATAAGGAGTTCAATAACATTTTCTTATAGTGAAGAGTCTGCTACCGAACAAAACTAGAGAATCCTAGAGTCTTAAAACTGGGGTCATGATAAGGCAATGGTGCTTTCAGAGATCCTGTTTTGAGGTAAATTTATTGATGCCTTCCATAGGGCAGATACCATAGACCATGGAATCCTCAGTGAATTAAATGGATCTTTAACACACACACACACACACACACACACACACACACACACACATACACACACACATACACATATATATCTGCTTATTTGCACATTGACATTTGATTGCTATTTGAACTGAATTTTTCCCAAGGTATATGGGCCTAACGTATCCAATTATGACTAAAATGTATGGCAATTTCATTTGTAATCATCTAGACATATAATTGCAAGGAAGAGCAATGACGTAAGCATTTCTATCGGTCACTGGTTGTTAACATTTGGTACTAAAAATAATTACAATTCACACTTACAAAGTACTATGGTAAAAACTTTTCTATATGTTGTTTACAGTAAATAGAGAAAATTAAAGAAAGGACATTTTGAATAGAAGAAAATGAAAAATAGCTTAAGTAATAATTGTTGATTTTCCTTTAGCTATGGCTCCCACCTTTGAAATGAATCCTATGAAGAAGAAGACCCTGGCAGCTAAAGGAGGACGTGTTTTAATTGAATGCAAACCTAAGGGTGCACCTAAACCAAAATTTTCATGGAGTAAAGGAACAGAATGGCTTGTTAATAGTACTCGGTCAGTTCAGAAAACTTAAATACTTTGAAGTTTGATGTTGTATGAAACATTTCATATGATAGAGAGCCAGTTTTCACATGATCAATATGTTACTAAGGAAGAAAAGGTTGAGATGCTAAGATTAAATGGAGGGATCATGTGTGAAGCTATCACGCTCTACCCTGGTCAAACCATTATAGTAATCTGTAAAACTCCATAATTCATAAATTTAGAAAAATTGTTAGTAGGTCCAAAGGATATGTTAAGATGATGATGATGATGATGATAATGGTAATGAAATAATAATGTTTAGGTAATGAAGTAAATAATATTTAAAATAATACTTAAAATTTTAGGAAGCTTTTTTCAAATTTTCAAGGTACTTTCCATTTTTAAAATCTCATTTTTTACTCAGAAAATATGATGTATTTAGAACAGGTTAACATTTCAGTTCAATTATTGAAGCATTTTTGTTGTTCATTGTTTCAGTTGTGTCAGATTCTTTGTGACCCCCATTTGTGGGGTTTTTTTTTTGTGGCAAAGATACTAGAGTGGTTTGCCATTTCCTTTTCCAGCTTGTTTTACAGATGAGGAAACTGAAAGAAAAAGGATTAAGTGACTTGTCCAAGGTCATACAGCTACTAAGTCTCTGAGGTCAGATTTGAACTCAGGTCCTCCTGACCCTTGGGCCAGCATTCTATCCATTGTGCCACCTAGCTGCCTCTCTATTGAGGCATAGAGAAGATAACTGAGTATTAGTTGTCAAAGAAGGCAGGGATGAATCCTTTTGGAATTTTAAAGGCTGGACTAGATATCTATAATAAAATTATATGGGACACAGTCATGATTTTCATACTCATGGGCCATTTCTGCCTTGGGAGGTAACTCTGAGGAGCTGAGAAGTTAAATGACTTGCACAGGGTCACATAGCTAAATGAGTGACAGAGCAGGGATTTACATTAACATCTTCCTTACTCCTTCCTGACTCCAAGTCTACTCTATCCACTCCTTCATAGAATATTAACTTTGGAAGATATTTTAGAAATCATATAGTCCCACCTCTTCATTTTATAGACAAAAAATGAATAAATGAATGAATATTTAAGCACATACTGTGTTCTAGGCACAATGTGAGACTTTGGAAATAAATACAAAAGGGAGACAATCCCTGCTTTCAAGTAGCTGACATTGTATGTATACAATATGTGTAGGGGAGTCTAAGCAATCACCAGAATTATGAGTGGAACCATAGGGAAGTGGATTGTCATATTCTTTTCAGAATTGATTACTGTTTCCAGAGCAAGAAAAGGAAAGTATGCATATGGAGGTGGTAATTGTATGCATGCAGTAGTAGGATGAGAAGCGCAGGTAGGTCTTATTTTTGGTAGATGGCTGAATGGCATATAAAGCATGGTCTAGGGCTACCTAAATAAATTAGGTGAGTTTTCCCACTCTTACCCACCAATCAGGACTTTAACTCTAGGATGGAGTCCCAAAGTTGAGTGGACTGACTTCTCCAAGGGTGGGGGTGGATGGATATACTCCAGAGGTTTCATCCAAAGAGTCTCTATGCCAGGGGGAGATAAGAGGACAGAAAAGGGCTGAAGATGTCCTGGTAGGCCCTGGTTTCCTATTAATAATGAATCCAGAGAGGTGAGGTGATTTTCCCAAGGCCACTTTGCTAGAGCCAGGACTAGCAGATAATTTTCCTGACTTAGTCAAAAGCTGTTTCCACTACATATACCTTCAAATCTTATATAAAGCCTCTATAGGAAGATTGATATAGCCAACGGACATCTAAAAATATGATTTAAATTTTTATCATTATATGTTAATATAGATCATAGTCCCTTCCAGCTCTAAATCTCTGATCCTATTGTAATTTTGCCTTCAGCAACTTATCTGAAACACCAGGTTTATTTGTTTTGTTTCTTAGCCATTTGCAAATGAGGGTAAAAATTGGCCAGAATATTTTACATGAGGAGCTGACAGCAAAATATGGTACAGTAAAATTCTTATTGAAAACTTATTTTTTGTGTTACTACATTTACTACTATATATATTTTAAGGCAATAAGATGGCCTAGTGGATAGAGCACGGGGCCTGGAGTCAGGAAGATAAATCTTCCCCAGTTCAAATCTGAACTCAGGCACTAGCTGTGTAACCTTGGGAAAGTCACTTAGTCCTGTTTTCCTCAGTTTCCTCATCTGTAAAATACTGGAGTTGGATTTATGATCTCCAAGGTCCTTTTTTATTTCTAAATTCTCTGATCTCATGAACCTTAACATCTTTGTGAAATAGATCTCTTCTTCAAATTGGACAGGAATAAAAGAGAGGGGGAAGGAGACTGGAATATGTTACTAATTAGCATCTTTATATGATGAAGATTTGGTATCCATGTGTATTCAAAGATAAACTAACCTTGATTTTTCAACTTTTAAAAAATGAGTTAGCATCATTCTTATAAAAATATAATTTTGTCAAAAGATAGTTATAAACCTCCTCAAAAGTCCATTGTTCATGTGGGAGATGTATCTGGATTCTAAAAGTTTTGTCCCTAAAACATCTATAGAGCTCTGGTAAGTCCAACCAAGCTGGAATGGCTTCCAGTATTAACTCAGCAACAAAACAGATGTTTTACAAGGTCCATCCTAGCTAAATTCATAGGAGATCATACCTAGGAGGTTGGCACCAGTTGATGAATCCATTTGGCCACAGAAACTCATCAAGCCATCTACTAAAGGCGTTGGTGGGATCATTACCTGCTTAAGTGGGTGAAATTGCCGTTCTCCAAAGTATTAAAGTAAATATGAATGTAACCTATTGCATAAAACATATTTTATGTGTTCTTTTTTTCCTGTTAAAATAGAATTCTCATTTGGGATGATGGTAGCCTTGAAATCAGGAACATCACAAGGGCTGATGAAGGCACTTACACATGTTTTGCAGAAAATAACAGAGGAAAAGCTAATAATACTGGAACTCTATTAATCACAGGTGAGGCATATTTTTAATAAAATTAGAGAACTCAAGGGTCAGATTACTTTAGGAACAATAACCCTGCCCTGTCCTTTTCCAACATTCATATAGCTGAGAATTTCAGTTGTCAAAAACTCTCTGAGAGTCTACTCTGATTTCTTACCAGAAACCCAGTGAAATGAAGTTTATTAAAAAGAGCTTATACATTTTCATACATGAGCCAAAAGATTTTAGAATTTCTCTGTTGTGAATCATAGATAATTAATGTTTCTTTTTTTAATGAATTCAGATGCCACGAGGATTACTTTACCCCCAGCTAATGCTGATGTCACTGTGGGTGAGAATGCGACCATGCAGTGCTCTGCGTCCCATGATCCTGCTCTGGACCTCACGTTTATTTGGTCTTTGAATGGATATGTGATTGATTTTAACAAAGAAAATCGTCATTACATGAGGAATTTTATGGTAAATGTGACTTTATCATTATATATTAAAATATTTTTCACTCCAAGAACATGAAGAATTGTTAATATTTTCTTTTTGGTTCAGGCACAGGAAGAGCAATGAAGAAATAATTAGGTTCCTAAATGAAAAAAAAAGTTTACTAATCAGACTTCTAAAAGTATTTAAAATTAATATTCATTAATTGTTAAAGATGGGAGAGTTATGACTATTATAGGAATCTCATTTTATTGGTAAGGAAACTGAGATAAATAGAGCTTAATGTATTTGTCCAAGATAACATAATAATTAGTAATTATAATAATAGTTAATTATAATTAATAATAATAATACCTTCCAATTACATAGTACTTTAAGGTTTACAACACAATTTCATCATGACAGTTCTATGAAGAGTATAGTGCAAGAATTATTATACCCATGTTATATGTGAGGACGCTGAAGTTTTGAGTGGTTTAAGTGTTTTCTAAGTTACAAATATAGGAAGTGACTATAAGAGCTTGGATTTCAATGTAGGTACAGTATTTCAAATGCTTTTAATTCAACAGGTAACTCCTGTTTAACTTCTATGAATTATAATGATTTTTTGGTATCAATCTGGAAAGCAACTAAAAAGTTTTTAGTGTCTCTTAATGTTATTTGTATTACTTCTGAACATTTAAAATGGTAGATAATCATAAAGATTTTGGCATAGCCCATTATCAATAAATATTAATTAGATTTCAATCAAATCTTTTTTTCATACAACTTTAATATTGTCAAATACTAACTTTGTTATATTTGCAGTATATAAAAATCTAATGGCTTTCTCAATTCTCATACTTCACCTTTCTACACCATTTTGCACTATCAATCAATTACCTTCTCCTCTTGATTATTCTTTCCTCTTTAGGTTTTTATGACACTGTTCTCTCCTGTTTCTCTTCCTCCCTGACTAGCCACTTCTCATTTTCCTTTGTTGGGTCTTCATTCATACCATATCCACTAACCATTGGTGTCCCCCAAGGCTCTGTCCTGGGCCCTCTTCTCTTTTATCTCTATGTTGTCTTGCTTAGAGATCTCATTACTAACTCCTAAGTTATTTCTATGCAGATGATGCCCAGATCTATAAATACATTCCTTTTTTCCTTTGACCCAGTCCCATGTCACAACTGCCTTTTGGATATTGTGAATTGGACATTACAAAGACATCTCAGATTCAGCCTGTTCAAAATAGGATTTATTCTTTTTTTCCCCCAAATGCTGCAGTCTAACCAAATTTCCTGTTATTTTTTAGGGGACCATCTTATTCACGGTCACCCAAGTTTGTAACTTTGGTGTAAAAGCTTCCTTCTGAAATCATCATTCTTTATTATACAGACCTTATAATGCTCTCTTTTTTTTCTTATTGGAGTTCTTGACTAGCTTGGGCCTATTCTGAAATTTTGTTTTTACTCTTGTCTCCGTATGTGAGAATGACAAACCTTATTATATTAATCATTCAGGAGCTTCTTTCACTCTCAAATGTACTGCCTCCATGTTTAAGAATTCTGAAATCCCATTATTTTCACCTCTCCCTCTGTTTTCCCTTATTTATATAAGGCTTATATAGGCTTATGCCTACTCTTTATCCTCACCATAACCTCCAGTCCCTCGACCATTCAGTTATCTCCAAGGCCATCTCCCCTCACTAGCCACTCTTTCCTCTCCTGATCTTGTCTGCTTAGTGAACCAATTGAACTCTAAACTTGAATCCCTGTCCCCTTACCATATTGCCAATTACATCCAGCCAGACTTGGATTATTATTATATTATATTATTATATATTTATTATTATTTTATCTTGGTATTATATATTCTTTGCCTTAATTCCTTCAGTATGTACATGCTGCTGAATGAAAGTGGAGAAAATCATAAAACCTTTCTGATTAGGTCCACTACAAATTTATGTTATAAAAATTCAACTGGACCCTCACGGTTACTAGGAAATCCTGCTATACCTCCTTTAACAACTCACTAACCCACTCTTCACAGCAGCTCTTTCAAACCTTTTCACCCTTGCTCAAACCTCTCCTGGCTCCCCCTCTTGCCACTTTCTCAGTGGATCTTGCCTCATATTCTACAGAAAAAAATTGATGTCATCTTCTGTGGACTCCCTCTTCTCCTGTCTTCTTCATCTCCTATCACTCAGAAGTTTTCTGCCACTTTTTCCTTCTTCATCCCTGTTTTACATGTTGAAGTGTCCTTACTCCTTATCAAGGCTAACCCTTCTGTTTGTTCAAGTGATCCCATTTCATCCAGTTCCTCAAAAAGATTGCCCCCTCTTTCACTTATTTTCCATTTCTCCCTCTACTGCCTCATTTTCCACTGCTTACCACATACCGATGTCTCCCCTGTCCTGAAAAAATCTTCACCTGATCCTTTCATCCTTGCTAACTATCATCTTGTTTCTCTTCTGTCCTTTGTAGCAAAATTCATTGAAAAGGCCATCTACAATAGATGCTTCCACTTTCTCTCTTTTCACTGTCCTTAAGAATCTGGCTTCTGACTTTATCATTCCACCAAAACAGCTCTCTCCAAAATTACTAATGATCTCTTAGTTGCCAAATCTGGTGGCCTTTTCTCAGTCTTTATTATCTTTGACTCCTCTGTAACTCTACTGTTGATCACTGTGTCCACCTTGATAATCTGTTCTCTCTAGGTTTTTAGGACACCACTTTCTCCTGATTATTTCTTCTCTGTCTGCTTTGTTGGATCTTTCTCCAGATCACACCCTCTAACTGTAAGTGTCCATCAGGGTTCTGTCCTGGACCTTCTTCAATTCTACTTCTATACTACTTCATTTGGTAGCTCTGATGGATTTAATTACCATCATTATACTGATGATTCTCAAATTTGCCTTTCATGCCCCAACCTCTCTGCTGACCTCCAAGCTTGCAGCTTTCAGACATCTCTAACTTGATGTCTGGTAGACATCCTAAACTCATTATGTTCAAAACAGAGCTCATTGTCTTTCCCCCCAAACTCTTCCCCTCTCCTGCCTTCCCTATTACAGTAGATAACAACATCATCTTCCTAGTCCTTCAGGCTCACAACCTAGGAGTCATCCTGGACTCTTCACTATCTCTTACCCCTCATATCCAAGCTGTTGCCAAGGCTTGCTTATTTTACCTTTGCAGCATCTCTTGAATATGCCCTTTTCTCTCCTCTAATACTGCCACCACTCTAATGTAGGCCCTCATCACCTCATGCCTCTATTACTATCTTGCTGGTGGGTCTCCCTACTCCATTTAGCAACTAAAGTGATTGTCCTGAAACACAGGTCCAATCATCTCTCTCTCTCTCTCTCTCTCTCAACTCCACTGGCTTCCTGTTGCTTCCAGGAGCAAAGGACAAGTAGACTGTTTTGTCATAGGAGCAAAGGACAAGTAGACTGTTTTGTCATCAAAGCCCTTAGTAACCGAACCTCCTAATAACTTAATAACCTAACCTTTCTAGTCTTCTTACACCTTACTCTCCATCACACACTCTTCAATCTAGTGACACGAGCTTCTGACTGTTTCTTGAACAAGATACTCCAACTCTTGGCTCTGGGCATTTTCTTTGACTTTCCCCTATACCTGGAAATGCTTTCCTTCTTCCACTTTGATTGCTGACCTCCCTGGCATACTTTAAGTCTCAATTAAAATTTTAACTCTACAGGTAGCCTTCTCTAGCCACTCTTAATTCTAATGCTTTCCCTCTTTTAATTATTTTCTATTTATCCTGTACATACCTGGCTTTGTATATGTTTGCATGTTGTCTTCCCTATTACGTTGTAAGTTACTTGAGGGCAGGGACTATCTTTCACTTTTTTTTGTATTCCTATTGCTTAGCACAGTGTCTGGCACATAGAACCTGCTTAATAAATATCTGTTGAATTGAATTGAATCATTGCTAAACTGGTTCTATCCTTTATATGAAGTGTGAGTCTATCTCTAATTTTAGGTTGCAACTGGGCCTAGTTCAGTGGTGTTCTGGTAATTTTTTAACAACTAGTTCTCTGGAAAAACACATACAGTGTACTTATAACATATTTTTAAGTTTAATCTGCATTATTAACATTTTTCCATCACTTTCTTAAGTCTAGACAATCAAGAAAACTATAAAACAAGCACTGATGCTGCAGCATTTGCTTATTTCTGAGGTGTAAATGTCCCCACTAAAAACATAAAAATCACAAGAGTCAGTGTGAACTGGCTTCAGGACACTCCTGGCCAGTTTCTCTCAGGTAGACTTTGGCCCCAGTACATGTTCACATTGATGCTATGACAGCACAAAATCTAATCTGGCCAAGTTTATTATTTTGGTCATTTTAAACATTTTTTCACAGTTGGTACAACTATGGCGCATTCAGGCACATCAAGTAGAATTGTAGGTCAAATCATAGTTCTACCCAACCATTTATTTGATTTTCCTACATGTATGTAGATTGAAGTGGAAGGCATTGATAACCATATCAAGATTGGATCATCTTCAGTTTTGTTGAATAAATCAAGAAGATATCAATAAAATTGTGTCTATTGATTTTTCTCTCATATACACTCCCTTTTTATTAGAAATCACAGAAGACTTAGAGCTAGATATCAACTTAAAAAGCATCTAATCTAATCCCTGAAAATTATAGGTAAAGAAACCTAAAGAGATCAAGTGACTTGCTCCCTAACAGCTTATTCATATTCATATGTGTATGCATACATATATGCATGCATTTGTAAATATTTTTGTGTATATATACATATATATGCTACATAATTAATGAATACTTGGGTTTTTTTTTTATTTCAAACAGTTAGATTCCAACGGTGACTTGCTTATTAAAAATGCCCAGCTGAAACATGCTGGACGTTATACTTGTACTGCTCAGACAATTGTGGACAATTCTTCTGCTTCAGCTGACCTTGTTGTTCGAGGTAAGAGTTTTAAGATTGTTCCATTAGAAATATTTGATTTGTATCAATTTATAACATTTTCCCATGTATCTTGTTCAAATACTTATGCTATAACACTATTCATTCTTAAAGAATAGCTTTTTGCCTTTGCCTAGTAATCTTTATGCCTGAACCAGTAATAGACAATACTGATTTTACTAAAAATGTACTATGTAGATGTACTATAAATCTCTATGTATTCTTCTGCTTACTAAAAAGTCTCATTTACTAATTTTTCAGCAAGTTGAAAATATAGATTTTTAAAGGAATAGATACACTAGCAGTGTTTATTCCTGATCTTTTTATTTTATGTTTTTCATTAAAGTTCAATACTTTTGTATTTTCACATAGATAAGTGTGCCTTAAAAGAAATCCATTTCCTTTGGCTTTAGTCACAACTTCTTTGATTACTATCTTAAGTGCTCCATCCTTAAATATTACCATTTCAAAGGCTGACTAACTAGAAAACTTGCCAAGGTAAGGTAGTTATACACACACACACACACACACACACACACACACACACACACACACACA